GATCTGTTTTGGTTTCTCGCTTATTGGATCTTGATTGAATCTGATTATTTTTTATTATTATTTTGTCATTTTGTTTGGTTTGTAAGTAACGTTGGTAAAATGGAATTTGACTAAATTGAGACTATTTTCTGAAGCGAAGGTTATGATCTTTCGGGATTGTTGATGGGGAAAGTTAAAGTGGAAGTGGTGGGAGGGATCGAAAGTTGTCATTTTGAAATTAAAGCAACATAAAAAAAAATTTTCCTCGGTTATTTTGTGGATTAGATTATGTTTTGCCAAGTTAGTTGTTACTGAAATTGTTACTATCTAGTAACATTTTATCATGTTTTGCCAAGTCAATTTCAGCAACATAAAGTCAATTATTACTAGATGAATTGTTACTGAAATTTTGTGGTTAGCTTAAAATTCAATTGTTACTGTAATTGTTTAATACAATGTTAATTTTCTTAGGTAACTTCAGTAGCTAGATTGTGTTAGACCTAGCAATTATCATGTTCCGCCGCTGGGGTAACTCTCAACACGATCAGGACACCGATGAGCAGGAACATGACAACAAGGTAATGACAGATTGTTTAATCATAAAGAATATTTCGTTGACTAAACTCCGATTTTATATTTAGATGCCACATTTATCATAATCATCTATGGTTGTAAATTCGTTTGAGTAGTTTGTGAATGATGAGGGAATCTTTGCGTCTGGAGCCAGCATTATATTTTTGTCATGCCTCTCCAAAACTTTCTTTATATGGATGCATTTTCAAGCGTATTTTAATATCAGCGTCATTGTTAGTATTCCATACAAGTGCTGTGTCACCTATTATTCCTGCACACACAGAGGAAACCTTTTTGTGTGTGTACAAGAGAGATGGGAGTTTTTTCCTGTATAATAAAAACCTGCTGCAGCAACTAGACGTAACTTTCATACTCAAAGTGAACCACCATAAAACCGTGCCCTTTGTTAATTTCTAAACTTATATCTTGAAAGTGGGGATTAGAGTTTTATACATGATCTCTTTACTCTTTTAATGCTTGAAGATAATCAGAGTAAAATCTGTGTGCAGGTCAACGAGCTTAAAACTGCCCTGGGGCCACTTTCTGGACGCAGCTTGCAGTACTGCACTGATGCTTGCTTGAAGAGATATTTAGTAGCCAGGAACTGGAATGTAGAGAAGTCAAAAAAGATGTTGGAAGAGACGCTGAGATGGAGATCAACATATAAACCTGAAGAGATCCGTTGGGTAAGGGAGGCAATTGTTGCCTTTTAAATTCTTGCAAGTACTAGTGATCACAGATGTATTGCAATTAGCAACAGCAGCTTGTGATATGGATGAAATGTACAGTCAGTAAATACGCATGAAGGGACACATGTTATAACTATGTTGTGTTATTGTCGGTGAAGCAAAGACACTCTTTCTAGGATAGTTTGTCAGATACAGACACTTCGGATAAAAGGAGATGTGTGTCTCACACCCCCAAGTGGTGTGTCTCAAATTTTTTATTTACTTTTTTAAAAATTTTGACACGTGAGTTAATCTTCTCCATCTCACCTAATGTATGTCCTATATTTTTTCATGTTTGTTCAATTTCTGACGCACAAGATACATGTCCTCAATGATGTGCATGACAAGCCCCCTTTATTAAAATTTGGAATATAAAGTTAAAAGAGAATCTTAGTTCTTAAACAATTTGTGTATAAAATATGAACATAACTTGTAGGAACTGAATTTTGACTTTGTTTATATCTGCTATATGCTGTTATTGAGACATGAATACTTTTATTTTGTGTTCCACCAGTGATAGTGTGATACAAAATACATCACGCAGTCACTCATCATATTCAAAAGATTACAGCCCCAGAATTCAAAATCAAAGCTAGAAAAGAGTATTACTTACATTGAAAAATTGTGAAGAATTAAATAACATGATATATCTAAATGTATAGTTGCAGTTGACGTGTCCGTGTCCTACATTTTGAGAAGTTAGGTATTGTTATGCTTGTCTGCTCTCGTGTTTTGTGTTCATGTCCGTTCTTCATATTGGCAATGATAAAATGGAAATGAGCAATTGAAATTAATGTTCAAATGATTTTTTTGTGTTTAGTAATAGCATCATCTTCACCACCCACGGCCAATATCACCTGTCAAATATTATTATTTGTTGGGATCAAGTCCCTTTAATTTTTTTTAAACTTGTAATCATGTACTTGTTTGTTAGAGTTTTACATTCTGATGTTATAACACTGTTTTGGCATAGCTCCTACTTGTTACTTGAATTGACAGTGGTTTTATTTTCAAAACTGGCTACTGCATTTGCATTAACCATTTAAATGTACGTCATTTTTTAGCATGAAGTTGCAGTTGAAGGTGAAACTGGGAAGATTTACAGAGCTAATTTCCACGATCGTCATGGGAGGACTGTTCTTATACTGAGACCAGGGATGCAGGTATCCGGTGAATCTTGAAATTTCATTAAATTCTTTTATTCAACATTTTCATTTGGTCCCTGTCACTTTCTAAAGAAATTATTTGGAATCATATTGCTATACCTTTGCAGAATACATCATCACTCGATAACCAGATGAGACACTTGGTGTATCTTATAGAAAATGCCATTCTTAATCTTCCGGAAGGTCAAGAACAGATGGCGTGGTTAATTGATTTTACAGGATGGTCTTTAAGCAACAATGTCCCTATCAAATCTGCTCGAGAAACTATCAATATATTGCAAAACCATTACCCTGAGAGACTAGCCATTGCGTTTTTGTACAGCCCCCCACGCATATTCGAAGCATTCTGGAAGGTTTGCGTTCTAAAATCCTTGAGATCATATTTTTCTGTTTGATGCCCGAATACCTGTGCAAGTTTGGCTAAGCTTAGAAGTTTTATTTATAAGTAAGTTATTTGTGACGACGGTAGGGTAAAGCTACTTAAAAAATGTACGACAAATTTACTGTAAAGTAACTTATTTGCTTATCTTCCTTAACTAAATTACTCTGTTATTAATATTGCTTATTATTGATATTTCTAAAGGGACGTGTATTTGAATGCCTCGATTGCATATTTCGATCTATTGATGTTTCTTACAAGAAGCATCATATATTTTCTTTAATTGAACTATTGCAAGAAACTGGGACTTTTTTCGACATTCACACATTTTGACTGAACTGCACAAGTTGTCTACAATATATGTTCACGAGATTGTTCCATTTCTTTATATATTTTTTGGCGCGCGGTTGGAACTTGGAAGGTTCTTCAACAAAGTTTTCAATGTTTTTTGTGTGCTTCTGTGTTGCAGGTTGTGAGGTACTTTTTGGATCCCAAAACCTTCCAGAAGGTGAAATTCGTGTACCCGAAGAATAAGGACAGTGTGGAGCTGATGAGTTCCTATTTTGATTCTGATAATCTCCCAACTGAGTTCGGGGGGAAAGCCACGCTGCAGTATGATCACGAGGAGTTCTCGAGGCAAATGGTACAGGATGATGTGAAAGCTGCTAAGTTATGGGGTCTGGATGAGCACCAAGCTAATGACCGTGGAGGAGCCGAGGTGGCTCCAGAGCCCGAGTACCTTGCTTCATGAGACAGCTGAATTCTGTCACCGATGAAATAGCGAGACAACCTAATTTATCAGCGAGCTAGTTCAACCAGAAGCTATAGTCACATTTTACGAGATCAACTCGTTTTATTGTCGAACTGTTGCATCTTGTTATTCATGAAAATGAAAATGGAAGTTTTTATTGATTAATGTTCACAATTGACAATCATCTATCTTACATTGTACATCTATCTAAATTTCATTGATGAAATGGATCATAGGTTCTCTTGCTGCATCTTTTCTTGCATGAAGAAATTTATTTGTTCATCTTGGGGACGGGTTTGTGTCAAGTGGTGCTTTTTAAGTCGACTGTGAATTACTCAAAGCATCTTCAGTCATGGTGTAAAATATATCAAAATTATGATTTAGATCTTTAAAATGATCTGAAACCTCTACAATGGAGATATGTAAAAGAAATGTAAATTGCATTTTTCATCTTTTTACATCCACGAGGCAAAAAACGTATTTAGATATTTCCATTGAAACAAAATTTGAATTCAAATTCATCTGGATGTAAATAAGAATGTAAAAGTTATTTTGAATACACCAATTTACACCTAATTTTGAGCCACCATTGAAGATGTCTCATCTTTCTGTTACACAAGTAACTTATAATTTTGTTCAAAAATAAAATTTACTTCAATTACTTTTTAAACTTAACCAAACATGCGATATATACAAGTCAAAACAAACTTTGCTACATTTAGGACCAGATTTTCGCATCAAAGTATACAAATATATCTATTTACTCACTCATTTTCAACAATAAACTGAGAAAAATTCAAAAATATGCAAAAGAAAATAAAAAATTCAAAACTCCGTATCGTTCACTGCACACACTTTTTTTTTTTCCTTTTTCCTTTTACCCTTTCTCACAAAAAGAGAGAAAAAAATGGTTTCTGCCAAGTAATTTGCACTTAACACAGCCTAATATACATTAGATTTGGCTCAAGTTGAAGCAAGATAACATGATAAGAAACTACTACCAAAACCGTCTTTTAAAGCTTCGAGTGCCAGTCTGGTAAGTACGAACCAGCAAACCAGCTCCAATTCCAACTCCTAGGCAAATGCCAAGGCCTATTCCAACACCAACCCTGACGCCTGCGTTGAACCAGTTAAGCTCCCCATCTTCACTCCAGTACAAGTTATCATAGACTTCATCACTTTCTGGTTTATAATTTCTGTATTCTGCAACCTGAAAAGGTAAAACGGAAATATTTCTGAGACAATGCATATTATAATCATAAACGCGAGTGAATGAAAATGCCAACTCTTCCAACAAAAATTGTGAGTATACGAAATACTACAATGAGAGTGACAAACATTCTTTGTGAACAAAACATGAATATGGTGACATAAGGCTAGCAGTCATGCATCAGAAGCAGTAAGAAATGGTTTATCACTAGTTAGCAAAACATTTGACACAAAACAACAAACCAAGCCTTGTTCCAATAAATTTGGGTGGTCTACATGACCCCCTTTTCGCTACGTACTAATAGATGTACTTGAAGGTTCAAAGCAACTACAATAGCCCATGTTTGTTTGGTGTTTTCCTCCCCATTCTAATGTGTTCTACAGAAATAACATCATTGTTATAACATGAGCCTTTTTCAAAGCATGTTTGGGAAATGTGTATAAATGGTTTAAATTATTAATAGATAGAAATGAGTGGTGATTAAGTGTTGTATTTATGGGTCCCTCAAAATATGTGCATAAAAACTGGCCTGAGTGTTTATAAACACGATCCAAACATAGGCCAGTTTTCACATGACCCAAACATTTTCTATATGAGGAAATATGTGGCTTGAAAGGAGTGATTGCAATGCATAAACATGTATATCAAAGATGTTGTCAGGTAGAAATAGAAAGATTAGATAGTCACCATTTCATGGTTAATGAATTAATGCAATAAAATATAACAAGAAGAAAAGTAACTATTGATAAAGTTAAAGAGTCCATGTCATATATGTGTTGAACAACCACTATTTGAAAGCTATACTACCTACACTCCTTTGACAGTATTGAAAAATTAATCTTTGGTTAGGCACTCGTCGAAACGCGTTTCTTTCACACCTTAGAGCACTCCTCATGTGGTCATTCTTGACTTCAACTTGTGAATGAATATTATGTCTCCTTTGTAACAACTGAAGCTTTTAGAATAAGGTAGTTTGACAAGGTATACAAAGAAATCGAGATCAAGTCTTGCCGCCACATATTTTATAAACTCGAGATTTTAGAATTAACATGTCCTTAAAATATATATCCTAGTGAGAGTTGTGAAAGGCACCTGCCTGTTCAAATAACATCACATGCATTGACAAAAAGGGATCAGTTTTATATAGAATAACAGCTCAAAAGAGGTAGGATATAATTTCATACATCCGCCTAATTTCTAAAATCACGTGAATCTTCAAAAGAGCAACAAACCGAATAGCAACTAAAACAATCTTGGTTTAATTCGAACTTGTTTTTACTTATGATGGTTCCTTAAAAGATTGCCTGGAACATTTTCTAGAATTTCTAAGTTTTCCAATTACGATGGTAGTTCTAGTCAGTTAATGTGTTCTAGGTATCAACAAAAAAAAAAATTGAACAGTATACTTGAAAAGACTATATATGACCTACCAATGAATGCTTATATATGCTTTTTAAATTAATGCTGATACGGAAAACAAGGCAACAACATATTCTCTTGAACAGCTTCCTTTGCTTAATGGCCAACCATTCAGAAATTCATTACGGGATTTTGGTCCCGAACTACAGCAGACACGCTATAGTATAAATGGTCTGTGATGCACTGGCTGTGATAAGGTTAAACAAATAAATCAGCCCACAACTTTCACTTTTTTTTTTTTTTTTCAATATATAAACTACCAGGTAAAAATCACAAGCTAACCATTAGCAAAATTCAAGGAAAGTTGGATGCTTTATAGGGTTTTCATCTCACTGTATCAAGTCTCTCTTAATTATCTAGTCTATATAAAGGAGTCTGAGGGGGGGCCTTTCTGTATGGTGCAAGAGACAAAACACAAAGGTGTGTGAAGTCTCTTTTGTAAACGTTTTCTCAGTTTTACTAAAAATCGTCTCTGTTAGTTAGAAATCAGCAGTAGCGGAAGTAGCTTCCACATGAAGGTAAACCATTATAAATATGTGTGTTTCTAAGAGTACATTTCCATTCTTGTTTGTTCATTATTGCTCTCGGGTTTGAGGTTGGGTTTAATCCATAACATGTCTGCTCTAATAGCATCAGAAGATTAGCCAGAAAAATAGATGATAAATAATTTATGAAATCGCAACAACCAATGATCACATAAACCAAACACAAGACTGGAATTATCAAACTTCATTACCTGTAAATCAAGTCCAGATGCACCATCTTTATTGGATTCGGTGGTTTCATACTCAGGTATTGAAGCCAAACCCAACGTTCCCTTTCTATGCTGTTTCTGATGTTTAAGCTGCAGAGTCTTGGTTAACATGACTGGTGTTCGCGAAAAGCTTCCTGCAACACAAACTTCTATAGTAGGTGAGAACAATTCAGCACTTCTAATCTGTTTGCCCTTCAGAAATCCTGGGCCAGGACCCATTACCAATTCACAGTCCATGCTCCACCTATGTGTTGTGTTGTCTGAATCCCCTATCAAACCATTAGCATTAGGCCGTTCTAGAACTCCAACGAGCACAAGATCCTCTCCATCAAGAGCTTCAAACTTTATACTCCCCGTAAATCTTATAATATCTGTGCTCACAAATGTAACCTCTTCGGATTTCTTACACATCCGATCCCTTCGAAGTAAACAAGAAACTCCTTCTGAGTCAATCGAACATCTTACACCATTCACTTCAAGGAGGGTTTCGGGACTGAGGGGGATGTGATTAAGAATAAGAGATTCGGGGGTTGACTCGTCCACCTTGAAATTGCTTATTCTGACATAGAACACTTTTATGTCAAACCAAGGTAATGAAAACTTGCCACCAGATTGATACGAAGAATGCCTTTTATTCTGTAATCTTGGATCAACCAGATTCCCATTGCAGTGAGATTCATGAGAATTCTCCATCTTTTCCAGAAATTAATTTACACCAAACTCCTATGCAGACATTGATATAACCAGATGATTCCAATTCACAAACACGAAAGAATCCTGTTCTGTAACCAACACAAGTCAAAAAACAAAATATTCTTAAAAAAAAGTAAAAATAAAAATAAAAAATATTAAGGTAAAATGGAGTATGTCATATATACTAGTTCAATTCCAGAAATTAGCAGACTCCTTATTAAATATCCCCTAGAGCCCACAAAACTACGTACAAATTTGCATCAGAGAAACGTATGAAATTAAGGTTGCCACTTGCCAGGTAGTAAAGAATCATTGATATTTACAACTGATTCCTCAATTTAAGGAAAGGAGAAGACAAATTCATAAGGATCATGCTACACAGCCAGGCTCAAATTCAGATGGGACAAGCGTCGACACATGATTGGATAGTTTGAAAAACTAAAAAAAAAAACACTAAATCATTTTCTATCACATCGATTTGTCTCTTCGCTCCCAATTTTTAAGCCTGGCTAGGTGGCTTTATTCAATTCATAACAACTAGGCCAAACATCCCCCAGTTTCACCTAAAGACTGTAACCAATTTTACGGGGTAAAAATCATAATTAACACTACAATATTCAAAAATATTACCAACAAAAACAAAAAACAGGGATCAAAATGTAATTCACAAGTAGTCTGCTCAGTCAAACAGATTCAATCTAGAAAAACAATACCCCTAAAATTTATTAACAGAATTAGAAAAGAAAGAAGGCACATATATTATGTTGATGCAGAATCAAGAAACCAATCAAATAGACTTGTTCCATAAACACAAATTAATTTAAAGTCTTTCCTATCATTTCACAACACTTTTTTCAGAAGAAGCAAACATTCAATTATATTAAAAGATAAAATTTCATGATTATTTAAGGAAACAATAATCAAGGTATGACAGCGAGTTCTTTTAAACCTTTTAATATCAACATCAGAGTTCTAACTGCAACTAAAAGATCGATCGGATTTCAAGATGACATTCTTGCATTCACTACCTCTTTCCTTTCTTTTTCGAATTTTCTGGGCAGCAACAAATTCAAGAAATTAAGAAAGCTCCAAAAAACAGAATACAAGACTGAGAATCTCTCAAATCTCTAACCTGCGAGTCTGCGAAGCTTTAATCCACCCACACGGTTTCTTGTGGCCCAAATCAAGAGTCGGTGACCCCAGTCTTTGGAATTTCTGCGGTCAGCTGTAGCCTGTAGTATAAAATTCAAGCACGGAAGATTTTTGTGGATTGAAAGGCTGAGGTTTTTTATGTGCATTCTAATTAAAATCTTGAAATATTATATATTTCGTCGTTGAATATTCCATACATAAATAGAAGCGTGGATATTGTATTCTATTTTCGCGTTTGCTTATGTGTACGATTATTTGCATGTTTGGATAAGCTTAAACATTAGCTTATAATAAAACTTTCTTGCTGATTAAGGAATAATTTTATCTTCGTCACTTTATGTTTACCAAACGTTACTTTGTCTAAATCAGATCACTAAATTTTAATTTATTTTCGTTAATCACTTTATTAGCTTTAATTTATTTTCATTAATCACTTTATTAGCTCCCATTACTAAACATATATTACTTGTTTCGATTTCATTATAATTATCAGTCAAAAATCAACTTTAATTTTTATAACACTTTTAATACGGCGCATAATTATTATTCATTTATTCATCACTCATTTCTATTATATTATAATTCAGTAGTTCAAACTAAAATTTAAACAAGCAATTAATATACTAAACATAAGCAGACTTTAAAAAATTATGGCAATATGACGTGTCTAATGTCTTTAGGTAATTACAATGCCTTCTGCATTTACGACTTGATTAGGTGACACAACACATCATGTAGCTAACAAAGTGATTAATGTTGAAAGTAACTTGACTTCACTAATCATATCGAGACAAATAGTTGAAGCCATGGTTTAAATTTCGTTGAAAGTTGAGCGACCAAGAAGGAAATTTGCTTTTGATTAATCTTGAATATAAACATTTGGTATGACCCATAGGCCTTAATGGATCGAGCCGGTTTGATTCAACACACTGCACAAGCTGGCTAGTGCTCGTTTTGGGATGAGCCTAACGCTTAACTGCCATATTATATTTAGGAACTCTCGTTTTGGGATGAGCCTAACGCTTAACTGGCATATTATATTTAGGAACTCTTTGTTAAAGAACCTATTCAAACCATGTATTTGTTTAAAAAGCATATTCTCAATTTTTTTTTTTTTTTTTGGTGAAATGACCTTCAATTTTAAAATACAATAAATAATAAATGCCCCTATTTGAGCTAATTTTTTGGGACATAAAAATGAAATTTTTTACTGTTATATCTCTCTTAAAGCTGCAATTGTTGACCGATTGTGTCATGTGTGGGATCCAGATTTTATACCAACAGTCAACTTTTTCATGTAAATAATTTGGAAAATATAGCACAAACAGGCTCGATATCAAATCTCTTAAATACCCTTACCAGTGGAAAACACATTAACACTCGTAACAATCCAATTAAATTCCCTAATTCAATTTTAGAATCATAATCGCCCCTTTCCTTTTCTCTTCAATGGTCGTGTCTGCTACTTAAAATCCTCTTCTTCGTTATATTTTTCACATATTTTGGGTAAACAAGAATTTGGTTGCTATATCATATCCATTGAAAAATCTCATTTATATTTGAAGGGGAAAAAGAGATATTTTAGAAATCTCATGTTCATTATAATTTTATTGTTGAATATTGTATTGAATAATATTTTAGTTGGTGTGGTTTTTGCATTTAGTGTGTTTTTTGTGTTGTTTGTAATTATTGGATGATAATGATACTCCAGCTATTATCTGAAATGTAGAACATCGCTCCAGTAGTTATTTGCTACTTAAATAGTAATTGATTTTTTTCAACGAAACAACTTTTAGTAATGGGCTTCCAAATGTATGTAACAGAAAAAGACGGATCATATTATAAATAAAAGTTGAAATGACCTAAGTATATGTTAACAAGTTGGTGAAAGCACAAATCATCCTATACGTCTATTAAGTTAATATGCTTGTCTTTCAATTTTTGTACATCTCATGTACATATTACAACTTAAATAAATTTCACTTACTGTGCAACTACTTATAATCGTATTTACAAACAGAACGACATAATTGTCGTTTTCTTTATAGTAACTACACTTATGTTCTGTTAATTTCTCCTATATTTTGATTTGTTTCAACATAACGTCTCAAACATTGAACCCCTTCCTTGAGAAAAACAGAAATGTTGATCATGTAATAAAAAATGGTGGAAATGACATAGATTATATGATACGGAGTTAATGAAAGCACAAATCACTCTATTGATTCATTAGAATATAAGTAATGAGCATATCTTTAAAGTTTTGTAAATGTTAAGTCTTTATTACAACTTAAATAAGTTTCACTTATTGTTTCTTTTGGTGCGGATGTGGCACGAATGCTTATAATTGTGTTTACAAACTGAATGACACAAAGGCCATTCTCATCACAGTAATGACACTTCTGTTGTTCACAAATGAGTTCAATTTATTGGTTCTCGGGGCATAGATGGGATGTGGCTTCTTATACTTGTGTTTACAAACATAAATATAGAAGACTCATTTTCCTCTTAGTGACAACATTTGTGCTGTTTTGTTGCTTTTTCCTATATTTTTATTTATTTTAATGCAACTACCTCAAGCAATTGACCCTTTAGCCATATAAGACATAAATGTTGACGATGTGATAAAAAATAATTTAAATGACATAAATTATATGTTATCAAGTTGGTGAAACACAAGTAATCCTACGGATTCATGTCGAATAAGTAATGAATATATTCCTCAATTCTTGTACATGTTATATCCACCTTACAACGTTAATGAGTTCAACGTATTGGTTTTCAAGAATCCAAATGTTACATGACTTTTTATACTCGTATTTACAAACACGATGACACAATGGTCATTTTTATCTCAGTAGTGACACTTGTGACGTTCAATCGTTTTTTCCTATATTTTGATTTATATTCAATGCAACGATCTAAAGCAATGGAACCTCTAACATGTGTAAGACATAAAGGTTAAGCTTGTGAAAAAAATAGTTGAAATGACACAGATTATATATTATCGAGTTTATGAAAGCATAGACCATCCTACGAAAACTTTCTCCTTTACTGGCGCCCAATAGATAGGCTATTAGATTGAGTCGAATAATCCACCCATTTCCCAGCAGAGCCTCACAAAATCTTTCCAATTTGCCTATCGATTAAGTAATGAACATATTTGTCAACTTCGGTACATGACATATCCGTCTTACAACATTAAAGAGTTCGACTTATAAGTTCTCGAGGCACAATTATGACGTGGTTTCTTATATCATGTTTATAAACAGAAAATATAAGGGTCATTTTTATCTCAATAATATCACTTGTACCATTATATTTTTTTCTTCTTTGTTTTCAACACGACGACTTCAAGTAATGGACTTATGAAAAAGAACGGTTGAAATGACATAAATTATAATGAATGCTTATAAATTAGTAACGACACTTGTGCCGTTCTCATAAAAGTTTTCATCTCAATAATGACACTCGTGTTGTTCTCATGCAAGCTTATAAGTCTTATAACGGGGCTTGTGTTGTTATCATAGACAGTTATAAGTCCTACAACGGCACTTATGCCATACTCCTATTGTTTTATCCTATATTTTAACTTGTTTTCAATACAACGACTGTAACAGACTTATGAAAAAGAACGGTTAAAATGACATACATTAAAGTGGATGTTTATAAGTCAATAACGACACATGTGCCATTCTTATAAATGTTTTCATCTCAATAACGACACTTGTGTCATTCTCATGGAAGCTTTTAAGTCCTATAACAGGACTTGTGACGTTATCCTAGATGCTTATATGTCCTATAATGGCACTGGTGCCATTCTCATGGACACTTACAAGTCCAATAACTATATTTATGCCGTTCTCATGAGACAACAACAAATCACAAGTTAAATTCGAATTGAAAGATAATAATTCGCATAAGCAGGCTGGATTTGATTTCATTAATTTCTTGAATTTCAAATCATTCATGATCAAAGACAACAAAATTTCAAAAATATTATACGTATAGATTGAAGGTTCAGACTTTGATCTGCTAAGATTTAAATCACAAAAGATCAATCCACATGAAAGATTAGTATTTACCTTTAAATCTTAAGAACTTGATTAAAGATAATAAAAAAAACAAAAAACAAAAAACAAAAAATTTGTTCAAGCAAAAAATCAAACAATTTAACCACAAACCCAATTCAGACCTTATCAAGAATTCATCATTCAAAACACAAAATCCACATGAATTCGAACTGATAACTCCCAGACTAGAATTGGAAAATAAAAATAGAACTAAGCTAACCAAAGGCAAAAAAAACTTGTGTTGTGACTAGTGTTCTATATGACGGCGCTAAGGCGCACCTAGACATAATGCTAGGCCAAAACACCAAGCCATTTAAAACTTGTGTTGTGACAAGTGTTTTAAATAATGGTGCCAAGGCGTCCCTAGGCGCCGCCTAGACGTAATGCTAGGCCAAAACGCCACGCCAAGTGGCTTGATGTCTTATTTGGCGGTCAACGGCAATCATTGACCGCTAAAGTGTGCATTAGTGCTCATTATCATTCTTTTTAAATTTATTTTTTTTGTGTTGTTATATTAATGGCTAATTTCTTATCTTACTCTAATTTAAAACAAACCATTTGAACGTTATACCCGGAAAGTCTCCTCCAATTTGCAACATCTCGACAGTCGGCACTTTCTCTTCCAAGTTCCAACGGTTGCTCATCTAGTCATCTTCCCACTTTCCGGTAAGTTTGATGCCTCAATCTGCAAAACTAAAAGAGACAAAACTGGGGGTTTTCCTTTTTGATAGTCGGCCTATACTCCATAGAACTTGTGGCCGTAAGATTTTGTAAACAAGTGTTGAAATTGAAAGAGACAAACCTGGCAATTGAAAATCCAAAAAGAGTGACTAATGAGAATGTGTCAATGCACTGGGTTCACGTGGGGGTTTTCTGTAGGGTACACTATCAAGTTTCCAATCTTTTCTGTATCAAATGGGCCTGGTTAGTGGATAAAGGCAAATAGAATATTGTTATTGTATTTGTGATAATTATAATATTCATTCGTGAAGGCATCTTTGAATTTGATCAATATAATATTCATCCGTTACAATTGTGATCCTATTGCAATAAAGAAGGGGGGAAATGGGAAAGCTTGGGGTATTTCATGTTTAGAGAACTTTTAATTTTGTGTGCATCTTAATCTTATTTTAATTTAGTACACTGAATCCCAATATTTATAAATTTTATATTGTTTCTAATTTTTTAGGAACCAATGGAAGAAGGTGATTCTTCAACCGTATCTAAATCCAATGCTAGTAAACTCAAAAGAGATTCCGGAGATGTTGGACGGGAAGCCACGGTTTTGATAGATCCAAACAATCTTAATAATGTGAAATGCTTATTCTATGATAAGGTTATTAGCGGAGGAATTTCTAGGCATAAACTTCATGTAGCTGGAATCAAGGGACGAGTGTAGCATCATGTCCTAAAGCAAGTAAAGAACAAAAAGCTAAGTGTGTTGAGGCGATTCAAGGGACCAAGTCTAAAAGAAGAGACGAGAAGCTATTGCATGCTGCTAAGTTGAGGGAAAATGTGAATATATCTTTGCATATAATAGATGAGGAAGAAGAAGATTAAATTGCTATTATTGAAAGAGGGACTAGGAAAATGCCTATTAATGTGGGAACTATGGATCGATTTGCAAGGTCTATCAATGTCAATGATGCTTCTATGAGTGCAAATAAGAAATTGAGACAAAAAAATATGAATGATGCAATTGCTAAGAAAAGGTTATTAGAGGTTCATCAATATTTGGCAAGATGGGTCTATGAAGCTGGAATTCCTTTTAATGCCATTGACAATGATAGTTTTAAACTATTTGTGGAAACTCTTGATCAATATGGACCGGGTTATATTCCTCCTTCCCAATACCAATTAAAGGAGCTACTTTTGAAGGGAGAGGTAGAGAGGACAAAAGAAACTTTAAAGCAGCAAGAAGAAGAGTGGAAAAATAATGGGTGTTCAATCATGACCGATGCTTGGACCAATGGAAAAAGAAGGGACATCATGAATTCGTGTGTAAATTGTAAATTGGAAACGATATTTATTTTATCAAAGAAAGCTTCAAATAATGCTCGTACAGGTCAGTATATATTTGACTATGTCAATGATTGTATTAAAGATGTTGTAGTTGAAAATGTGGTTCAAATTGTAACCGACAGTGCTTCCAAAAGTATGGCCGCCGCAAAATTGTTAGAATTACAAAGGCCTAACATATTTTGGGCATCATATGCCACTCACACTTATTCTCTAAACTTCCCAGGTTCAAGGCAGTGATTAACAAGCCAAATCATTCACTATTTTCATTGATGCACATCACAAGACTTTGGCATTGATGAGAAAGTTCACAAAAAAAGAGAGTTAGGCATGAAGTCACTAAATTTGCATCCTCGTTCTTATATTGCAAAGCTTGCTTGATAAAAAAAAACAAGAGTTGAGAAGTATGATGACTAGCAATGAATGGGATAACACAAAATGGTCTAAGTCTAAAAAGGGACAAGAGGAATTTGATATTATTGTTCCGAATGATTTTTGGAACATGATAGACTTGTGCTTGAAGGTATTCACTTCACTAGTAAAAGTTCTTAGACTTATTGATGGAGAAGAAAAACCTTGAATGGGCTTAGTTTATGGAGAGCTACTAAAGGCAAACGATGACTTTGTAAAGACATTGAAGAGGGAGTGTGATTTTAGGCCAATCTTGGACATTATTGATGCTAAAAGCGAGGTCGCCTTGATAGTCCACTTCATACAACGACTTATTTTTTGAATCCATTCTATTTCTGCAAGAATCCGTGTATCAAAGATGATTCATTCATGATAAATAATTTGATTGCTTGTGTTGAGAAATTTTTTCCTATTGATCAAATGCAATATCATGTTATAAATATTGAGTTGTAAAGATATGTCCAAAAGGAAGGTTCATTTGGGAGGAAGCTTGCAATAAGTGCATGTGAGAACAATAATTAAAATTACAATCTGGGTACGTTAATATATTACTCTTTCTCCCGTATCAATACTTTATTATATTTTATATATGATTATGTGTACATATATTAAATAACATGTTTGTCTCTTTCATTTATATTTAATTATTTATTAGTGACTTGGTGGGATTTTTATGGGAATGAAACACCCAATTTGAAGACCATGGCAAAAAGGATACTTTCATCTCGGTTGTGAAAGAAACATGAGTTCTTTTGAAGGGGTCAATATTAAATTATTAATTAGGTTGTTACATTTTGATTTTACTCACTAATGAGTGATGAATAATTATTTGAATATGCTTTGTTACATTAAATGTACCTGTCTCTTCTTCCTTTTTTTTGGTAGATACAGATGAAGAAACAGAATAGACTTGACACCACCAAAGTGAACAATCTTGTCTATGTCCAATTTAATGCAAGGTTGACAAACAACAAGAGGATGAAGGGCAAAATAGAGACTCTATTAGCAACTAATGCACAATCTTGGATTGTAGAAGGTTGTGATGATGAGGAGGAGTATGATAGAGTAGAAAATGATATCTTACAACCTTTGAGAGGTACTAGAAATGCTCAGAATGAAATAAGGGAGCCCGACAAAGAGGATTTTGTATCGAAAGGCACAAAGGACAAATTAGATGAAGAATGAAATATTGAATTGGAGTTCGATAAAAAATTAGATAAGATCTAAGTTCTTATACTATTTGTTTACTATTTTGTATTTAAATTTAAAACTTATCTTTTTGTTGGAAATTTTGAGAAAATGTATGACGTTCCTATAAATCTGTTTTAAATGTTTAGTAAGTATTATTTTTAATTATTAAATAATTTTTTGATTTATTAAAAATTAAAATACTATTAAAATGAAAAAAAGAAGAAGCCCTTTTTACGTTTTTCTTACTCCTAAGCTTCACCTAAACTCGCATAGCCCATAGCTTGACCTCCACACATCGCCACGCATTACGCCTTTTAAAACACTAGTCAATACTATTCAATCCTCCTTACTATACCTACCACAAGTGCATCTCATTACTTTGCAATGGGGAGTTAAGAACCATTAGATTCATATGCTATTGACCTTCCATACACGCTATCCCTAGAAATTTAATTGGAGACTCTTATTGGATCAGACTCTTGGAGAGTGATAGCCACCTTCAATAATCCGACTGGCCCCTTTCGCAGTTGTTGGTGCCTTCTTGTCTTTCCCACTTGTGTTCATTGTCAAGCTTCCTTCTTAGATGCTCTGTACCATCCATGGAAGTGCACAAAATTACACTTCACTTTGCAATTTATCTAGCTGAAAATGGTAGGATGACATAATATAGAGATAACTTTCAAAATAAGTAACTAATTTACAATTTTGATCAACAAAAGAATTATTTATTTTAAAGCATACTCGTTTACTTAATAAGTAAATTTTTAAAAACCACTCATGCATATGACTTCGTGTACTACTTAATATAAGAGAATGAAAGGGAACACAATTTATTGTATTGTACCTATGGTTAATTGCAGAGGAGGTCGTGGTTCATAGATATCTCTGGACCAAAAGTACATCTTGGAAATCTCCGACACTGTCTGTCCGGACGCTGGCAGCTTCACTAGTTAAGCTGTGGTACGCCACCACAAAGGCCTCTGGCCAGAAATTACACAACCTGATAATATTACTGTGGCTGTACGCATTCCAAATATACCTAACCATTTTCTCTCTTTCCTCCACATCCTAAAATTACAATACACAACTGTGTTATAGATTGAGCCACAAGGAATCGTATGGCTATCAGGAACCAGCAAATTAGACTCACATGTAATGTGAGAGCTAGGTTCACTTCCCTGAACCCGGATAGATTTTCAGTCTAATGTAAAAGAAGAGTACTAGGTTGCTCAAAATGACCCTCCAAAAATAATTAATTTTAACGAATAAGACCATGACACTACATATGTAGAATGCCCAATATACCCTTCAATTGACAAGTTTACCATATGATTACGAGATAAAATGAAAATACTCATCTATTTAAAAAATTCGCAACTAACAAACATTAAACATCCTTAGTTCCTCACGAGTGTACAATTTACCATACTAAACATGTCTATTTAAACCAAAAAAAAAGGGAAATAAGAAAGAAAACCAATAAGATTTAAGTGACTTTGAGAACATAAAAGATCCTGTGTCTAGATATAAAACAAATATATGCCGACAGGAATATCAAGATTGCCATGGAAGGTTGTGTGATGAACGTTTAAGACTAACAGCAGACTATTTGAGAGTGACAAAGACAGTAAACATTGACCAAAATGCCAGGAAAAAAATTGCAGCCAGTGCCGACAAGTTTATGCTTCCCTCTTAACAAACTAGCCATTACGGTCTAAACCAGAGCCGCTACCTTTCTTTGGAATGGCAATTATTGAACTAACTGTTCAGGCTTCTTCATCTATCATTCTTGCAAGAATTTTGGCAGTTTTTAAGTGTTGGGAATAGCAAAAGAAAGATGAGAATTTGGCAGAATTTGGGTGGTTTCTTGAATGCTGCAAGATGTTTGATGAGTAATTTGGCTTTTAATGAGGAATGAGTGCACTAAATTTTGAGAGTAGACACAAACCACCACAGACTGGCCAGCAGTAATAATTTGGAACATGTCTCAACGTATGACTCTTGTTGCTATAGTTTGAATATGAATCTTAAAACCTAATCAGGTCAGAAAATACAAATCAGATATACAGTTTCAACTCTACAAGAGTATATAGAATAGCAAATACAATATCTATTTTTTTGGTAAAAAATGAAAAGCAAAAAGACAGTCCAAATCTTAAAAGTTCAAACGCAATTTCTGATAAAGAGAACAATGAATAAAAATATTTACCTGTGCATATTGCTGGCGTCAAAGAAACTTCCTTTACTAGCAATACTTACTTTTAAACACAACCAAACATGCTAAAACTCTTCGTGTGGTGTGTTCCATGCAGTGCATAAATTTACAAAGAGAAATAAACAATGCGGAACAGGCTCAGAGGATCCATTGGTTTCTTATAATCAAGGGAAAGAACTCCCCTCAGAAAATAGGTAGTTCTTAATCATCACAGCCCATTAAGGAGGAAATAAAAAGAACAGATCATAAAAAATAAAAAAAAAAAAAAAAAAAAAAATTCAAAAAATGTAAATTAAATTTTGGGAAAAACGGACTTCCTGGAACCCAGATAGATTTTCAGTCTAATGTAAAAGAAGAGTACTAGTTTGCTCAAAATGAACCTCCAAAAATAATTTATATTTTAATGAATACTAAGACCACGACACTACGTATATAGAATGCACAATATACCCTTCAATTGACAAGTTTACCATATGATTATGAGATAACATGAAAATACTTGTCTATTTCAAAAATTCGCATCATTTTCAGTGACAGCATCTTTAGTATCTTGAACAGAACATGCCACTAACAAACATCATGCTTAGTTCCTCACAGTCGTACAATTTACCATACTCGACATGTCAATTTAGAGATTAAAAAAAACAAAGGTAAAAAATACAACCAGTAAAAGACTTGAGTGACTTTGAGAACATAAGATCCTATGTCTAGATATAAACAAACATATGTATATACCAATGGAATATCAAGATCATCATGGAAGGTAGAGTCCAAGTCATGTGATAAATGTTTAAAATTAACAGCAGACTATTTGAGAGTGAAGAGAGCCAGTAAACATTGACCAAAATGCCAGGAGAAAAACAGCAGCAAGTGCCCACAACTTATACTTCCCTGTAACAAATAGCCATTACAGTCTAAGCCAGAGCCACCAGAATGGCTATTATTGAACTACTTGTTCGGGCTTCTTCATCTCTCATTCTTGTACGAATTTGGGCAGTTTTTAAGTGTGGGGAATAACAAAAGAAAGAGGAGAATTTGGCAGAATTTGGGTGGTTTTCTTGAGTGCTGAAAAACGTTTGATGAGTAATTTGGCTTTTAATGAGGAATGAGTGCACTAAATTTTGAGAGTAGACTCAAACCACCACAGACTGTCTAGCAGTAATAATTCCGAACATGTCTCAATGTAGGACTCTTGTTGCTATAGTTTGAATACGTATCTTAAAATCTAATCAGGTTAAATACAATTCACAATATACAGCTTCAAATCTCCTAGAGTACATGAATAGAAAATATAATTTCTATTTTTCTGGTACAAAATGAAAAACAAAAAGAGAGAGAGTTCCAAATTTTATAAGTTTGAACGCAATTTCTGGTAAAGAGAGCAATGAATAAGAATTTTTACCTGTGCAAATTGCTTGCGTAAAAGAAACTTCCTTTACTAACAGTACATAATTTTAAACACAATTTTTGTTTCTAAGGTGGGGAAACCTATTTCCATGGACAAAGTTACGGCTACAAGGGGTCGGCTCTCTTTTGCTAGAGCACTTGTGGAAGTAGATGCATCCATTAAGCTTATTCGGGAGGTCAAGATTAGACTTCCAAATGGTGTTATGAGGGAGCAAGAAATTGTCTATGAACATGAACCAAAGTTTTGTGGTTCATGTAAAGTGTTCGGTCATTCCACTTCCGGGTGCAACTACAATAAAAATGAAGTTGCGAAAGGAAAAGGGAAAATTGCTACTTCAAATCAAAGTAAAAACGAGCGGGCAGGTAAATCAGCACCAAATGGCCAGAAAAGTCGTGATGGGGATGCGGGTGTGAACAAACGAACTGAGGAAAATGTCTCTACACCTTTACTTGGTAAAAAGGGCCAGAATTCTGTGCAAAAATCTGGGCAGAATCCGGTCCAAAAGGAGCAGAATTCTGGGCAGAATCCGGTCCAAAACGAGCAGAATTCTGGACATGTTACTGGGGACTGCGTGGTCGACCAAATGGGGGATGAACCGGGACAAATTGAGGCCCCATTTGAGAAGGTGGTTGCCAAGAAAAAGCGGCCTGCTGAGGGGAAAAAATCTGCCCACGTTGGGGCATCAAAGAATGGGGCAGATTTATCCTTAAACCTTCCTCCAGCAGATTCAAGTAAAGTTTGTAATGAAAAACTCAAATGCAAGATTGACGAGCAAAGTAAACCGGTTTCCAAAGTTGCTAAGAAGAGGGGCTCCTCCCTTGCTTCTTCATCATGAAGATAGCATCTTGGAACATTAGGGGTATGAATCCACCCCTCAAATAAAATGGGAGTTGTGAGTTCCTAAAGCTTCATAGCATTGATATCATGGCTATTTTGGAAACGAAGGTGGAAGACCGTAAGTTGATGAGAATTTTGAGGAACAAGTTCAATGGCTTTTTGCATGCAAACAACTTTGGTACTCATAGAGGTGGACGTATTTTGATTTTGTGGAATCCATCCAAAGTCATTTTGGATGTGATGGAGGTTCATCCACAAATCATACATTGCAAAGCTACATGCAAGGTAACTTCTCTTGTTTTTCTTGTTAGTTTTGTATATGGGTTTCATACTATGGTAAACCGAAGGACTCTTTGGAATACCGTCATGGAGCTTAATGTAAATATTTCTCTACCTTGGTTGATTGTAGGAGATTTCAATAATGTGCTAAAGTTTGATGAGAGATGCAATGGGTCGGATGTGACCCCGTACGAAATCAAAGATCTAGCATCTTGTTGCCTCAATGTGGGTCTCTCGGATGTCCAATCTATTGGTTGTTTTTACACTTGGACGGATGGGACGAGGTGGAGTAAAATTGACAGGGCTATGGTGAATGATGTGTGGATACAAAAGGGGGTTGTTGTGGAAGCAAATTTCCTCCCTTCCGGATGTCTTTCCGATCATTCCCCGTGCATTGTATCCTTTCTTGATTGTGGGGGAAGAGGAAAAAGTCCCTTTAAGTTCTTTAACATGTATACCAAGCATGTGGATTTCAATGACTTGGTTATGGTTTGCTGGAATTCTCACTTCCGAGGGAATAAACAATTCATTCTTTGCAAGAAGTTGAGCAAATTGAAGGGGGCTTTGAAAGTTCTTAATTCCAAGCATTTTGGGCATATTTCTAGTAGAGCATCCGAGGCAAAATGTGAGTTACTTGCTGCCCAATTACAACTACAAAATCAGCCTACTAATGCTGTTTTTCAGAATTTGGTAGCTAATATGAGGAAGAAAACCGTTGCATTGTGTGAAGCCGAACGTAGTTTTTACTACCAAAAGGCTAAATGTATTTTCCTCAAGGATAGTGACAAATGTACTAAATTCTTTCACTCCATTGTCAAAAGGAACTCAAAGAGAAATTTCATTGCTTCAATTCTTAAGGCCTACGGGAGTTATTCTACATCACAAGAGGAAGTGGCCACCGAATTTGTGAATTTTTACACCGACTTGCTGGGAAAAAAAGAAGCCGTTCAGCCTATTGATGTCAACATCCTTGCAAATGGTCCTTTGGTATCTTCGGAACAAGGGAATGATTTGATTCGGGACATCGCTTTGGATAAAATAAAGGAGGCTCTTTTTGGGATTGGAGATGATAAATCTTCCGGACCGGATGGGTACACTTCATGTTTCTTCAAGAATGCTTGGGAGTGTATTGAACGGGATTTTGTGGATGCTATTTTGGAATTCTTCTCATCGGGTTCTATTCTCCAGCAAATAAACCATGCGGTTATTGCTTTGGTGCCAAAATCTACTCATGCACCTTGTGTGGGGGACTATAGACCGATTTCTTGTTGTAATGTCACATATAAGGTGATTGTAAAAATCCTTGCATCGAGGTTGAGGCCTATTTTGGGAGACATTGTAGACCAAGCTCAAGCCGCCTTTATTGAAGGAAGAAGTATGATGGAGAATATACATCTTGCTCAAGAACTTATGAGGCAATATAATAGAAAGAGAGTTGCCCCGAGATGTATTCTTAAAATTGACTTGAGGAAAGCCTATGACTCCATTAGTTGGGATTTTCTTCATGGTGTCCTTGAAGGATTGAAGTTTCCACCGACATTTATTACATGGATTATGGAGTGTGTTACCACTCCGACATACTCCGTTGCCTTGAATGGGAGTATGTATGGCTTCTTCAAAGGTAGAAAGGGTCTTAGGCAAGGTGATCCACTCTCCATTCCTATTTGTACTTTGCCTTGAATATTTTTCTCGAATGATGAAGGATGCTACTTTGGATAGTGATTTCAATTACCACCCCAAGTGTGGAGCCATTAAGTTGACACACTTGGCTTTTGCCGACGACTTGATGCTTTTTGCTAGGGGTGATATTATGTCGGTTCAAATTGTCATGAATTGCCTTCAAAAGTTTGGTCTTTCTTCGGGTTTGAGTATAAATTTTCTGAAATCCAGCATCTACACAGTGGTATTTATGGGTACGAGCTACAAAGAATCATGGAAATCTCAGATTTCCCGAAGGGGTTTATGCCTTTTCGTTATTTGGGTATCCCTCTTGCCGCGGAGAAGCTTAAAGTGAGCTCTTATGCTCCTTTCTTGGATAAAATTGCGGGTTATATTGGTGGTTGGAATTGCTCCACCCTTTCTTATGCCGGCAAGGTTGAACTTATTAGGACGGTGCTTCAAGGATTGGAATGCTTTTAACTCTCTATTTTTCCTATACCGGCTACAATTATTTCTAGAATTGTTAGCCTTTGTCGGACCTTTCTTTGGGGAACTAAAAAGCCACTTGTTGCATGGAAGGATATTTGCCTACTGAAGGAAGAAGGGGGTCTTGGATTGAAAGATCTAAAGAGTTGGAATTTAACACTTTTAGCTAAATCCCTATGGAACATTCATACAAATAAGGACACCCTTTGGATTAGGTGGATTCACCATGTTTACCTTAAGGGGAATAGCATTTGGGAGGGGAAAGACCACTCGCCTTTGTTCAAAAAACTGCTGGAAATTCGGGATTTTCTGATTCATAGAGGTGGAGCCGGGCAGTTTTGTTGTTCTCGGGAAACGAACTGTTATGGGGAATTAAATCTGGATAATTCCTCAACTCCAAGTGCTGTTTTTGGCCCAAATTCCATGGGAGTCCAGCCTCAAGTTAGGGGCCGAAATGGGCAGATTTATAGCAGACACTTTTACGCAGGCAGACAGCTTTGTTCGGTAGGCAGTTTTTTGATTTTTCGAACGAAAATTTGGGCAGATTGGCTGGAGATAAATTCAATACGAAAATTGCCTATAATTTCTTTAGGCCTA